ACTGGTAATTTAGATGCATTTTTTCTATCTTTTGTTGTGATTTCGGGCATTTCGGCCCAAGAATAATAACCTTATCCCCCTCTCAAGCGTGGGTGGGGGGGGGGGGGGAGCAGTGAGCACTCGGTCCGGGTTTGACAGCTGAGTCGTCCTGACAGCTGAAAGCTGGGCATCTAACAGTCCATCGTACGTTGGCGGTCCGAGGCATTGTTTCGTTGACTCGGTTACGCATCATCGGTGTCATAAAAATTGTACCAAACCAAATGCCGTAAATAGGAAAGTATAGTCGACTACAGAATGATGTGCCACTCCTCATAAGCTGTCAGTTGACCGGAGCACTAAGTTGTGCCGTTTATCACGCAATTAAGCGTGTCGATTGTGAGCATTGGGACAAAGCTATAATTTGTGAACTCAGCCCGTGTGATGGGGCACAGCCTACCACTCCAGGCAAATAATTGCCTGTGAAAAGTGGAACATCATTCTGTAGTCGACTATACAGCATTTATAAGATTGGGCATAGCTGTTTCTGGTAGGTACTCACCTATCTGCTGGTGGCGGCAGACAGCTACAACTCCTGCGTCCCGGCAGCGCAGTCCTTCACCACTCACATCTGCACTCAATGGTTACCACACCAGCCGTCATATCTATCAACACATCGCACGGACCACTCTCACAAGCACACCCCGGCCGCGGTACACGGTCACTGCGCCGCCCCGACCTGACCCGAAACAGCCGCTAGAGGTCGTGTCACGCGGCAGAGGCGGCGTCAGCGCCCGGCGCCGGGGGTGCACGTAGTGGACAGACGTGGCGGCGCGACTCCATGCATGGGCATTCGTGATGTCAATTACAGAAAATCAGAATACCGATACCAAACCAAATAACAACCAAAACCGTGAGGAAATACCGAAACCGAACCAACCTAGAAACATTAGGCAAATACCAAATTTATACCAATTTATCAGCCTCTTATATATTAATGAGGGTTCATAATACCAACAATATACCAAATATAGGAGGATTGAAATACCAAATACCAAGTTGGTATCGGTTTGGTATCGGTATACCAAAATGTTGGTATCCGATTGACATCTCTAATGGGCATTATTGGAACTTCTGCTTGGAGTGTTGCTGCATACGATCTCTGGTACTGAAGATTAACCCGCGCCCCACTGGGGTCTGTGTATAACACGCCCTACTGGGGGGGGGGGGGGGGGCTATTCATAGCCCCCCCTCCTAACTCCGAAACTACTGGGCCGATCGTCAAAATTCAAACGGCGTCTGATAGCCCCGGAAAAACTGTTGAACGAAACCTAATTTCATTGACCTCGAGGTCACCGATGACGTCACAGGTCAGGTCAAAGTAAAAATTATTAGCATTTTGGCTTGTTCACATTTTGGGCTCTGGCCGCCGTCTTACAAGTCAGATCAGGCTCATTTTTGGTACACACACTCTTAAACAGATGCTCTAGATACCCTGAGGGTACCAAGCTTTTACTTTGATTTTCAGGTCAAGGTCAGGTCATCACAGGTCACGAAAATATTTTATCATGCGTCGGTCACGTGACACATGTTTTATGGTCCATTTAGGCCATAGATTTCGAATTTGATGTCGTCTGTGTCATTCGAGGTCATTTTGAGTCGAATTTAGCTTAGGTCAGGTCACTTTCAGGGCAAAAAAGGTCAAATTTTGAAGTTAAAATTTTTCAACAAAAAAGGTGTCTATTGGATGCAGTTTGAGCTCAGGAACACGATGGTGCCATTTATATTGGTGTACGATGTCAAATACGTACTGAAAAATTGATTTGAAAAATTAATAATTGTGAATTTTTTGCAATAATGCGTATAACTTGGCCATTTTTGAAGATATTTAGCTAAAACTTGCTAGAGTTAGTCATAATCAAGCGTTCTGTCACATATATTCTGGTTTTTTCGAAAAGTCAAAAACTGTTTGAAAAAATATAGAAATACATATTTTGAATATTATTATCTCAAATTTTCGAAATTTTCAAAATTTTGAAAATTCGAGATAGCAGTTTGATAGCGCGGTCAATTCTGAGTCCTTTCATGCAAAGAAATTGGATCTAGCTTAAAAACTGAGCTCTTGGGAGCGATTGCCGTGGTTCAATGTTTTGCGTCGAAATCGGCCGAACATGACGTCACTCTGACGTCATTTCCGGCCGACCTATGGTAGCTACGAAGTTCAAATTTTGACACAAGGTGTCAAATTGATGAAGCCAAAGGTACTGTAAGTTTGGCATCGATCCGTCAAGCGGTTTGAAAGTTATTGCAGAAAAACGGGAGGGGGGGCTATAAATAGCCCCCCCCCCCAGTGGGGCGCGGGTTAAATCACTACCAAATGACCAATGAGGCTTAACCACGATTTTTTTTATACCAACGGAGTCTTCGGTCCTTACAACTGGCATTCTCAAGCCAATGAGCTTGGATCTAAACCAAGCATTTATTCAAAAGCATTGGATTCGAAAGAATATCACCCGCCAGTGGCAAAGCCGGGATTACTTATTCTCTCGCACTGCATGGCATCATGAGGCTCCACTGAACCCTCTGCCAACTCCCTTCGTCTCGAAGATAGATTATCTAATCTCGCCAGTCTTCCGCAGATTTTCCGACCTCGTTGAGCCAGACGTGAAAGGAACCGAATAGACTGTGCGATGGATATATGCTCGTTACTGCTAATGAATGTGAGACGATGCCTTTGCTGGGCTGGGCTGGGGGCTGTGTGTCAGACTTGGAAATGACAGCGATAGATGTGGGTATTGTTGGCTTATATCACAAGCAATTTTGTATCGTCGTTTCTCCAGTGTGCCATTTTGTCATAAGTGATTTAACAGCGGGATGTCTGCCGCGTGTTTTTGTCATCAGTGGTTTTAAAATTGACGATTCAAAGTACTGTCTAAACATCGCAATTGCAATTCGCAATACAGTGCTATCGCAACTATTATGGTTCAATAAACGCATTTGTCACAAACTTTGTTGTCCGTGCCAATTTGTCATCTCAATTAAATGATTTAATTTAGCTCTAACTCGACGACATACAACTTACAAGCGATTCAACAGAATCGCTCAGGGCGGAGAATTGTCATAATCCCAGGGGGTGCTTTTCTAGCATCTGGCGAATGGAAGCTTCGAATTCTTGCGTAGAAAGGCATGTGTAGGTACGATTTCCAAGCAGCATCACTCTCCTCGCGGCTTACGCAAAGCAGTTTATGTCTCAGACGTAAATTAAGCACCCCTGGAGCACTATTGCACGGTGACTTTTGAATTTTAGGGGGTGCTCGAGCACCCCCAAAACCCCTAATTCTCCACCCCTGGAATCGCTGAGTCGTGATTTTCAAAAACTTAACAAAAAACGGTATAAAACGCTTAAAGTTCCCAGAAAGACGGGCCCAAGTCTCAGTGAAGATCGCAGGCTCTAAATAAATCCACCTCCCATTAGGCCAGCTTTGTGTTCCATTTTATCTGTTGGGTAAGCTTCACTCCGTCTATTGATACAATTTCGGGGCCACTGAAATGAGATATAAGGGCCAGGCATTGCGCTGATTTGACCACCGACTGGTGTGCCCGCAACAACAGCTGAGCCCATTCCGTTGGGGAGAACTTCTCCCTGGTGAAACGTGCCACCCAGCCGGTCAAACGACAACACCGGACACAGATGCTCCTGTTGTAGCTGCCAAGGCCTATAGGTACAGCCCCCCGCCCCCTGGCCTCGAGAACACCTCTCCAAAGGCTGCATAGTGAGGTGACCGTCAGTCCGAAACCGGGAAGAGTCAAGAATGCACCGGTCTCGTGAGGAAATAGAACGGGTGAACACGTTTTGTGCTTTCGCTGAGATGCTTTTCTTGCGTAGGCATGTTTAATTCCAATGTTCCAGGCAGAAACAAACCCCAGCTTTCATTAGCTGATAGCTCCACTTCGCATAACGCTGTTCACGAGCTGTCAGATGTGATTGTTCGTTTACTACTCATACTCTGCAGATGGCAGCACCATAAGGTGTCTTACTATCGGCCGCCTCTGGTGCTTCGGCAGCGCCATCTGCACAAACCACCAGATGTCACTAGCATAGCACCATGAGGGCCAAGGCCGTATAAGAGATGAGGGCCCAGTGACCTGAAATTCGTGCGTGCGTCCTTCGTCATTGCCATGCACGGGATCGATGTATGCGTCCCTTCATGATCCTCATCCTTAGTGTTCGATGGACATTGATCATTGATCAATGAGCGTGCATCCCTGCTACGGACTGACCACCACCCCACCAGGCACCAGACAATCGGTGTGGGCAGCGCCTATAGCAGCACGTTCCTCTGATGTGACCGCTTGATCGGCTGAGTGTTCTCCCAACGGGAACATCTGTCCCAACTGTCTGGCTCCAACCGATACGGCAAACCAGCCGATGTTCTACGCAGTCCAATGTCTACCCTGATTCTCTCATGCCATCTGTCGTCGAAAGTGAAAACAAATCTGACATAGAAACGACATAGAAAGTCCTGTTTTACAAGCTACAGGGACTGAAATAATCACTACTCGTTCACCTATCCGTGCTTCTATCCTCAGGATACTGAAATCCTTCTCCTCCACGCCACAACCCCCTTCCGGGCTGGACAGGCAACTTTATCTCATGCGGGCTGCTCCCTTGGAGCGGCACCGCTGCTCCCGAGGGAGCGCACCCCGTAGCCGGGTGCAGTGAGTGCCTTGGGGCTGGGTGGCCTGTCCTCTGGACGGGCTCAGCCCCGGCGACTCACTAGGGTGCCTGCCCAGACCAATGTCTCCCCCTAATTCCTATCATCCTTCCGGCTCTGCAATGGTCTTGTCGACCGAAAGGGCCTAACCCAACAAAAAAAAAAAAAAAAAAACTACTCGTTACATGTCACAAATCCGGTTTCCACTATGAAACTATACTGAAGTAACGCACATCATTAAAACTAAAAGTCACGATCCACGAACGAACGATCTGTCCCTGCCCTGAGTTGAAAGAAAATAACGATATCTCGATTAGTAGCTCACAGTTTATTCACATAAATATCTGCACAGATGCCATTCATCAGTATTGGCGAGAAGCAGAGGACAAAACCACAAGTCCGACAAAATAATAGAGCTTCATCTCCAGTCGAGAAATCAGTCAGTGTTACATCCTATATCATCTTTCACCACGTAAAAACACTGCTCACTCCAGCTCAAACGGAGCTTAACAGAAACTCATTCCAGTCCATCCAGACTCACTTAGCTCACTTCATTTTGTTTGTTTTTTTGTTTTGTTGGGTTAGGCCCTTTCGGTCTGACAAGACCATTGCAGAGCCGGAAGGATGATAGGAATTAGGGGGAGACATTGGTCTGGGCAGGCAACCTAGTGAGTCGCCGGGGCTGAGCCCGTCCAGAGGACAGGCCACCCAGCCCCAAGGCACTCACTGCACCCGGCTACGGGGTGCGCTCCCTCAGGAGCAGCGGTGCCGCTCCAAGGGAGCAGCCCGCATGAGATAAAGTTGCCTGTCCAGCCCGGAGGGGGGTTACGGCGTGGAGGAGAAGGATTTCAGTATCCTGAGGATAGAAGCACGGAACGGTGAGCTCACTTCAGCTCACCCAGAACTCATACTCTGGACATTATTTGATCCCCGCTCACTAGCAAATGTAAGAAATCGGGCGTCTTACAACATCAAAACGATTGTCTTTCTGATAGCATACGAGCAGAGAGGAGGAATCATAGTTCATACCAGGGTATTGGTTCACACGCTGTCTGGCACGCTTTTTAGCCACATCGGTGTGATACAAAAGGTTCTCTTCAACGAGGAAACACTTTTACTCTCGAGAAGCCCTCTATATAGTCAATCCAGCGTGACTCAAGTAATCTGGCTGTCTTAGCTCACCGATCACAAAGAAGCCAACAGCCTGACTTTCGCTCCCGAATCACCAGCGATATTCACAACTCGCAGAGTTCAAAACCTAGCAAAATAATTCGTAGATTTCTGCACGTGGACACTCCACACACGCACCACTCTAAGAGGAACTTCCCTTAAGTTTTCTTCCAACCTTCCCAAAGGCATTAAGCATTGCCTTCTTGTCACAATCACAGCACTGTGTGCCCAAAGAAAGCCCTTATTCTAAAACTCCCAGTAGGTGGCTCCGGACACATCGGTATTATCCAGAGCGAAGGCGCCGTTCTTTTGAGCGCAGAGATAGCCCCCGTGCTCGTCCTTGATGCACATCCTGGTGGGCTCGCGTAGCTCCATGAAGAACGGGTGGGGTACGTCGCCAGAGGCAGAGATGCCGTCCTCGGATGTCCAGTACTTGCCATTCTGACCTGAGAAAGGCGGAAAGAAATTGTCAGGCACAGACTCCAAGACGAATATCCATGAGACATCGAACAAGAGCTGCTCATGCGTTCGGTGACACGTGCAATCACAAAGATAACATCTTGCTTAGGGAGCAGCAGCGATCATCAAACAGATAAGACGGTCCCTCATTTGGCAACGATGGTAAAACAATTGTTCAGTGCAATACTGTACAAGAACATGAATGTACACTTGAAACTTAATCGTATGCTGTGACATTTACCCTAAATACAGGAGTAAGCCATCCTTTGTCAAGTATCGGAAATGATCGATATCGAGCACTAAGGAGCGAATCATATACAAATCGCGTTCCGCCAATGAACTGACCTTTGAAGAACACGCGTCCCTTGTCGCCCCGCTCCACGTGCACGGTCTCGTAGTTGGTCTTGTTACACTCGAGCTTCGTGGAGGAGGAGCTCTTGTAGCCGACAAAGCCCTGGTCACACTTCAGCACCAGAATTGGCCTGAAACAACAGAGGTTTGTGGGTTAATCCAAACACATTGTGAACACACGAGTGGAAATCGTATCATGATGATTGATTCGAGCTTTCGGGATCAGAAGCGAAACAATTTAACAACGAAAAAAGTTCACTTAAGCTGCCTGCATTTCTGATTATATATTGGCGCTGTATCTTTCATAACAACTTCTAATGTCCCGTCTAATACATGTTTCTAAAATGTAACCGAATAAGTCATATAACAACCTAGCATTACTATTTCGGCCATCACACATGCGTCCCCTGTCTCTAACAATATCTCCACCCTCCCAATTATTCCTCCTTCCCGTGATTACCACAAACCTGTTGATCAAGTAGAAGTAGAATTTGGCATTCTCCTCGTTCTCCTCAGAATTGGCGAACAGGTGGCCCGACTTCTTGGCGGACAGACACTTGCCGTTGTTGGCTCTCAGCGATACGGAACCATCACCGTGCCAGACCAGGTCAAACAGGGAGTTGGAAGACCTGACGAAAAGACGTAACAAAAGTGAAAAGACGTGACAAAAGGGTGATTAATAAGTGACAACACGGAACAGGGTGGTAGAGGGAATGATGACAAGGCGTTAGGGGTCGTGAGAGGACATTTGTAACCTTTTTTGCCAAATCACATCTTGTATCCACCGCTACAAAGGAATTTGGCCAACGTTTCAAGTACAAAACGACTCATGTTAATGTCGCTTAAACCAATACACGTTTGATCAGAAGAATGATTTGGCAGCTGACCCAATTCATCATGCATCTAAACAGTCCCACAAACCCTAACCCACCCGTCTCCTCGCCATGCCTTACTTTTTCCCGGCGGCCGCCTGGATGCCACCGGAGCTCTCCAGGGTCCAGTAGCGGTCCTGCATGGTACGAATGTACCAGCGCCGGGTGTCGGGGTCGAACTCGAGCAGGAATCGCTCCGTCTGTTCCACCTCCTCCTGGTTGGCCGTGACGTCAATGCCTGGGGAGGGTGGTAGGGGTTAAAGCGAGGTCAATGTGAGGTCAACGAGAGGTCAAGATGTTGGAGAGATCGGAGCTAAATGTGAAAGAAGCATGAAAAGATCATGCAGGGCAACACTATATTGACGACATAAGATCAATGTAAACAATGGTGGGTAGACAGTAGACATAGTATGTATAAGTCTAGTAAAAGGGATGAGACAGAGATGGATCAAGATAAAAGATAAATAAAATGACATGAAGATAGTAAGAATCATAAAGTTGCATCGTGATAGGCCAACACCTCAACAGTTTGTGGGGAAACAGACTCAATGTAGATATAGCACACAAGCCGTTTCGAAAACTGACACACAGAGAGAAGTGATAAGAACGGAGAGTCTTGCATCCATCAGCACTGGTGATATGTCCCTCAACTAGCATGCAATTTACATTCCAACACACTGAATCCTCCCCGGTTCATCTGATTCAGCCTTATCCCTTCGTCTTTCTCATCAGAAACTCTATCTTACCCGGCTGACCCAATCTGACCCTATCACTCCGCATTGTCCACTCAGCAACAACTCCACCCGTCACCCGTCAGTCTGAACTAACTGAACTATCTGGCTATCTGAACTGTCTCTCAAATGACCCGCAACGGACCTTGTTTCACGCTGACGTATCGGTCGTTGAGGGCAGCCGAGAAGCAGGCCTGGGGCAGCGAATTCTCCAGTGTGAACAGTTCGTCTTTGGTGACGGCAATACCGCGGGATTTCAGCTGCGCCTGGGGGAGAGGGAGGGGCGGATTAGCATGGTGTTATAAAATGCACAGAAAACGACATTGGAAGCACACAAAATTACTCATCTTCAAACACAGATCACAATGAGCAAACGTTGGAGGAAAATGCACAAGACAATGTGAAAGCTTGCGAATGATTATCAGAGCCAAATCCTGGTTTGTCGATATTTGTTTGTTGATTTTCTGAAACGACTTCAGCCTAAGGTAACTAGTGGAAATATCTATTTAATAAAGCTGAGTGAGCAGAGTTTTTCCTCTTGAATTCAATGACCAATCGGGAAGTGTTTGGGACAAACAACCATTGAAAACAGCCGACGGACTTTCTCCTTCACTATCGGCAGTGCATCTTGAACGTGTTATGTACGACCCCAAGGTGAAGTGAGAGGCTTATGATATCAACCAAGGACGAGAAGCAGTATCATTCACAGGTACTCCTTCCACCTGCTTGCATGCAGTGGAAAACCACATCTTACTTGCGGCTGGCCGAAACAATAGGAATCACTAGCGAAAAAAAAAACTATTGGCAAACAATCGAAGCACGACATTTCTCGGACCCAAAGAGCCGTTTTATTATCTGTAGGCTTTCGCAATCCCTCACCCTTGAAGACAATGACGGTTTGCTATCACATTTGTTTTAATGCAATGCACGTCGAACTAAAATGTTAACATGTCGATACTGCATAGCAAGAAACATATCTTATCTGAGCGTGCACCTTTATTCCCCCACTCTGACAATTAATTCGTTGACGGTATGAATCCGTGCGATCTTTACCATTTGATCTTGGTGAAGGGTACATCTCGAGGCTGTGTTCCCCATGTCTAGGTGCCATATCCCACCTATTTTACGTATATGGCGAAGGTTTTCTATGGGCAACAACACCAACGCTTGCTTACGTTTTTGTGCATAGCAAACATCACAGGTGGTTTTCAAAGCGCATCTCTCACCTTTGACCCGACCGGTGAGAGGTACTTCCCCGTCCGGTCCCGGAGTGCCAGACTGCCGTTGTGGTACTCGATGCTGAACAGGCAGTCTTCGGCACACGAGCTCTGCAGTCCTCCCTCGCGATGCAGGTAGAGGTTGTTACACGTGTGCAGCGCGTAGTGGTTGTCGCGGAACTCCAATGTGAATAGGGTGTCCTCGCCCCAGGGGATGTTGGCGTCCACATGGATCTCGTCCTGGTCCTCGGAGAGATGCGCGAACCGCTTTCGACCCAGACTGTACAGATTGACCTGAGGTCGCGCGGCTAGATGGACATACCTGTGAAAGGTCAGGTCAGGGTCAGATATAAGAACGTCCAGCGGAATTCGAAGACGAGGTCACGAAAGCAAAAATGTGACGGCAAAAACATGCAGATAGCGATGGCATGACAACGATGCATGCGAACAATAGGATTTGCTCAGGCAACAGATGTGGAGTCGAATTGTCTTTCAATCAGTGGCACAAAGGCAGCTAAAAACGTAACCAAGACGGCACCGGCATTCAATTGTTTAGGCACGTCCGATAAAATAATGTATGAGTGGTATTTGAATAGAAAGGATGCGATGTAAATTAATTTGATAAGTCAAAGCAGCATTAAGTAGTGTTCGGTTACCAAGAAAGCTCACTTAGTATAAACGTTATCTGATAATCTATTTCATTTTGATTTCATTACACCACCGAAGCCCACCACTTCTCACCAGAGTTCAGAATCCGCCGGCGCCTTGGCGTTGCAGACGAGTTTATCTCCTGCAGATCCGAGGAAATACTTCCGCTCCACGTTCTTGAGCGCCCACCGGCCACTTCCATCTGTGGAGAGCGCGATCTCGAACACGCCACCCGCCTCCAGCTCATCAGACTCGCAGGTAACGTTGCCGAAGGAGTCGACGGCCAGGTATTTGCCCAGATGGGAGCGAAGTGAGATCTGACCGGCGTCTCCAGTCGGCTGCATTGTCCATAGCTGCTTCTTCTTCAGGGAGGTGCCTGCGGAGGGAAAGAAATTGAGTTAGTGAGGGGAAAGTCGAGGGTTCGAAGCTAGGCTTAGGTGAATATTCCGCTTTACTCGGGAGGTTGGGCTGTTGAGATGTTGATTTTTTACGATACTGTGCCATGGCGTACTCACTTCTCAGTGCCTAAGTTGTGTCACGAGTCCTACAACACTTGACTAGGCGAGTGTGTAATCATATCATATACCTGCTAGCAAAGTGGACGAGGGGTTGCCTGAGGACGCATTTCAAAACGGTTAAGTCGCACTCAACGCAAACACTTAAAACTGATATTATAACAGGGCTACGTTGTTGTAAGCGTGTACAAAATGTACATTTCAGCACCGTTACAAAGGTAATGTTGTCAAAAGCCATTTATTATCTATATCAACCCACTTCAAGCGATCTGTGCAAAAGTATCGCAGAAGCGAACGGATAAAACTAATCCGTGCTTGTGCATGCTACAGTCAATAGAGTGAAACCAGGCGAAAGCCAGCGCTAGCCGTAAAACGTTAAAAACTAATTTATCTGAAGGCCGTGGTCGGCCAATATGCGGTAGGTTCTGAGAAGATGTGACTAGTGTGATATGCGGTGCCTTTGTGGCCACACCAACCGAAGAACAGCTGCGAGACTTTCCCGAACGCAGTGGCAAAAACTGGCCCTTCAATAGTGCGGTGCTGGAGGCGGTGCGGCCAGGAAAGTGAAAACTACGAGAAATGCCTTCAGCATTGACATACATTCGGCTAGGCGTGTCTGTACCGTCCTCTAAGCAGTGTGACAGATATGCATTCGTTTTCCAAATCGTCGCAAGCCGATTGGCCTTTGCTGATCGTGCAATACCGCCGTTATCGAGTGATTCAGCCGCCGAGCGACCACGAAAGATGACAGTCAATGAGCGACTCGGGGCATACGATCAACTGAAGTAGTCATCATGAAAGCATCGCGAGTATCCCCTTCGACCAAGTTCATGCAGTCCCAATCCATAGAACAATCTCTGACTGAATCCAAACTACGAGTTTCTGCAAATGAGTCGAATGCAATAAGACTTCCAACGACGGACTGAATTGAAATACAAGTTCTGCAACGAAGTGAATCGCACCGCAAAGTACCATAACTGACTGAATCATAACTGACTGAATCAAACTGCCACGACGAATTATGTGGCTAACCCTGAGACCGATACCACCCTTTGTCACAACAGCCACTGACTAAAGCCTAAGTCAGTTAGCTGAGCCCGAAGCCAGTCAGCTGACCGTCTCCAGGGCTGCGGAGTCGGAGTCGGAGTTGGTTGGAGTCGACAGTTCTGACCGGAGTCGGAATCGATTAGGGAAACCAGAGCCGGAGTCGGAGTCACCGAGAATCCATCGACTACGAGGCCCTGCCAGGTCTGCGGAGTCACAGTCAGAGTTCGAGTTGGTCAGAGTAGACCGTTCTGCTCGGAGTCGGAGATGGTTCTTGAAAAATGAAAGCTGGAGTTGGAGTTAGAGTCGGAGTCACTGAAAATCCATAAACCCCGCAGCCCTGCCCGTCACATATACCTACCTAACTGCAGCGCACCATAGACGGCTTAAAACTCCCCGAACACACCGCATCCATAACAGAGACCCAGGCCGAGCTCACTGGGCCGACTCCACTGACGCACCCGCACTTCACATAGTGAGGAAGTGATAACTGATAGGTATTGTGAACGGGAGGACACGCTTTATTCGGGTGTCGGAGTTGCTAAGAGCCGACGAAAAGTTCATTTGTTGACTGTGACGGCTCGTAATGAGAAATTGAATGAATGAATGAATAAGTGAATGAATCAATGAACGACTCCAGAAACAGGACACCATAATATACTACATTTGGAGCATCTTTTCTTCCGTGGTAGCGTGGCCGAGTGGTCTAAGGCGCTGGTTTTAGGCACCAGTCCGAAAGGGCGTGGGTTCGAATCCCACCGCTGCCAAACTTATTCCTGTTGAAAGCGGCGCATCGATTTTGGTCAGACCAAGTGACCCCATACAACATAGTGATGATGCATGCTCCGGCCCTCAGCCCCCACCCCCCAACCCCCAACCCGACATATTGCTTTTATCCTTTCCAGGCTCACGAAGCATGTGAGACAGGGGGAGGCCTCAGGCAAGGGTGCAAAGTGCAAACCAATTAAACTCCTAAGATCGATTTAAATGCATACTTGATAGTGGCTCACTATTCACTATCCAGTATCTGGTGATCCATGGCCATGCTCATTGATCACAAGTCACTGAAGACGCTTCATAGCTGAATCAACGTCGATTAAATGGGACGAGTATGCAGCAATTAACTTCTTTCGCCCGTATTCTAAAATCACATAAAGTTATATGGTGCCTAATCGTTGAATAGGTGAATGAAAGTACGCAAATTCTTGGTCTAAAACACTTTAAATCAAGCAATGATAATTGGTGTTATATTACTTCTATTCCCAATAACACTTAAAATCATGCCAAAAAATGTTACAGCTTGTGCCTCAATAAACACCATGTGAACGACAAAATAGGTCCTCCATTTCACTTCCTGATGATTAAATCTGGGGCTTCGGAGTCGGAATCGAGGTCGGTCGGAGTCGGAATCAGAGCCGGTATCGGTTTTGGAAACCGGAGCCGGAGTCGGAGTCATCGAAACTCCGTCGACTCCGCAGTACTGCCAGGTCTGCGGAGTCGGAGTTTGAGTCGTTCGAAGTCGACAGTTCTGCCCGGAGTTTGGAGTCGGAGTCGGAATTGGCTTTTGAAAGTCGGAGTCGGAGCCGGAGACGGAGTCATCGGAAATCCATCGACTCCGCAGCCCTGATTTTTATCAATTTAATTATATTAGATGATAGATCACACTAAGCTACACGAGTGGTTCACTTTCACCTTTCCGCTTTCACGTACCATTGGCGTTGATTTTGAAGCCGAAGGTCTCAGCTGTGAGGTATTTTCCGCCGCTGAGCAGGCCCACCGTCCAGGCCCTCTCGTCGGTGGCTGGCTCGCACGTGCCGCCGTTCATACCGTTGCTGCTGCCGTTCATCTTGTCCATCTGTGGAGCAGAGGTCAGAGGTCAAAGGTTAGAGGTCAGGTCAGGTGAGGTGAGGTGAGGTGAGGTCAGGCCGGGGGAAAATTTATTTGGATCAGGTTCTGGGTTCGTTGAGCTGGTGCTACCGTTCATTTTTTATCTGAGAGGCAGAGGCAGCATAGATCAGGTCAGGTCAGGAAAAGTGAGTGAGGCTGTTCGATTCGCTGCTGCTATTTAAATGATCATTTTAAGAGAAGCTACTGGAGAGAAGATCAGAGATCAGTTTACGAACAGAAAATCGCCGGCCCCCGGTATTTTTGCATCGCAAAGTAGCCCACATACCGGGTAAACCAGCCACGTTAACAAAAAGTCTGATGTGAAATCCACGTAATGCCATGCCTAATGCCTGAAATCATTTTTATATCATAGTGTTGTTTTTGTTTGCGTACTGGCAATAATCTGGGGTGACTTTAGGCAAAAAATATCCGCACGCGTCGATTTTTCTGTCGGGCAAACTCGCCTCAGGTTTGGGCAGGTAAACGTAAATCAGATGTCAACTAAGGGCAGGTAAGTCGAGTCAATTAAATGCTGCTAAGGTCGGAGCTTCCATGAACATGGTTTGCTTTGAGGCGAACAAGAGTAAATAAGAAGCTTTTTTATGTCGTGAGACGGATCAACGTAATGAAGACAGTCTCAAACATATGTTCAAGACACTACTCAACATTAGTTAGGTATTCTTAAGCAGCTTTATTTCTAGTCACAATTTCAAACACCTAACTTAAGTTGGGCGCAGGTTTTAGCTTTGTGCATCAGTGCGCAACAGGGAGCGTTTGAAAGAAAACTGAAAAGGTTTTCTTATTCCAGAGGAAGTTCACGGTAGTCTTACCGTTGCCTCCTTCCCGTCAAATGAGGCCCCGGGCAAGGTCAACTGTCAAGGTTAGGGTCAAAATCTTGATCGGACCCTCATTGACCGTCGTTATAAAAAGGCAGGTTTGGCAAAGACCAGCCTTTCAACCATGGGAAGCCTTCATTATGAGTTTTATGCATTTCTAGTTTGATATTGTTTCTAATGCAAAAATATGAGGGGTCACTGTCTAGGATGCTGTAAAACATACCCAATATTCAGACGTCTCCAGAAATCACTTCCTTCCAGCACCCTCTTTCTCCTTCACTATCGTCACTCCACACCTCCTCTATCCCTCTTTCTCACACTCGATTCCGATTCTCACTTTCCACCGCCTCACACGGGCCTCGTTCACCAATCCCCGACACGCAACCTCTCCCCACGGCCTCAGAACCACGACTGCCCGCTCGCCGCTCGCCGCCCGCCGCCGCCGCCCGCCACACCGCTGCCCGCCACGCTGCTGCCCAGCGCCGCCCGCCGCCTGCCGCCCAGCCTTTCCACCCTCCGTCGCGCCGCCGCCACCCGGCGCCACCCCGCCTCGCCACGCTGCTGAGCCACGCTGGGGGCTTTGTCGCACTCCGCTACTCCGCTAGACATCCATCCACCCGCCCGCCCGCCCGCCAGCGTGACCAACAACGGGCCGGTTGACTGGACGGTCGGCCAGCCTGGCCGGCCTAGCTAGCTGATTGGCTGGCTAGGCTGGCTAGCTGGCTGGCTGGCTAGATGGCTGACTGGCTGGATAGCTGACTGGCTGGATGACTAGCCTGGCTGGACTGGCTGGCTGACTGGCTAGATGGTTGCTTAGCTTATCGGCTGACTGGCTGACTGGCTAGCTGGCTGGCTAGCTGGCTGCCTAGTGCCTAGCTAATCGGCTCACCGACTAGATGGCTGACTGCCGGGATGGCTGGCAAGTCGACTGGTCGCAGTCTGGGGTTGTAGGAGGGGGAAACAGAGGGTGGGGTGGAGGGCGGGCGGAAGGGTAGCGGAGGATTCCAGCGATGACGTGACGCTGGGAGAGACGGCGGCGGTGACTAGTGACGGAAAACCAGACCGCGCCAGGTTTCACTCACTGGCGCCACTATTCCTCTGTTAGTGCAGTTCCATTTTTACTAGTGCCACCACCGCTAATGCCAGTAAAAGACGGATTTGGCTTTTGAGCACGTGTGTCTGAGGTTGGATGTTCGGAATGAAATGGGACAACGGATGGTGTGAAAATTGAAAATTTACCGCAGATTTGTGGTTCGGTCAAACCGGCTACAGCGACTTAATACATGTAGAATTTAGATCCTCTGAAAAACTAAGAGCCATCAACTCACTCCCAGTACCCATCTCTCCTCCGCTCTCCAAGTTCCCAACCAGTCTGCAGCCCCACACCACACTCAAACCGACGTACCTACAGCTCGGCTCCCACAGAGAACCGCTGGCTCCCGGATGGCTGCCATTCCGGAATCTGACCTTGCTCGGGCGGCATCTGGTCGGTCTTCCCTTCCCCTCCCCTCCCCCCCCCGCCCTATCCCTCGCTGCCCGTCCCGCGCTGGGTATCGGACTTGATGGTAAACAGGCACGCAGTTCCATCCGTGGTGTTGTCCAACAGCGCTGTAGGGGGACTGAAAGGAGGGATGAGATTGGTGCGAATGGAACTTCATCTTGTTTTCCTTCAGTTTGAAAATGATGCACTTCAATTTGAAAAGGTGTAATTCAAATTGAAAGACATCTTTTTCAAGTTAAAGTGTAAGTCTTTTTTCAAATCTAACTCCAACTCTTTCAAACTGAAGAAAAAGGTGCAGTGTGGTGTGTGTGTGGGGGGAGGGGGGGGGGGGTGACTGAAATAAACATGCATCCAATTGAGGTAGGTAGACGGTGATGATTTGATTCGTCAGCCATGAAAACAGTCGAATAATAATCGGCTCTGACACATGCCAGAGCATAGAATCTTCACGGTGCTATGATTGGTCGGCATAGCTTCATGCCTTATATGACGATGGCTCCTGATGACCCACCGAGCTCGACCAAATATCTGTCTGGCGCCGGAGGTTGATGTAGATTCGATGCCGCGGAATCGATTGGTTGATGTCAAATCGAAGGGGAATGGAAATTGTCAGATCGGCGGGGTCAGTGACGGTTATGTTTGTCCCGTTCCGAATTATAAACATCGCTATAAAAGCAGAGAGACAGGCACTGCCTCTTCTCACCGATGTAAACAAGTGATTGGGATTAGATACTGAGAGAAGTGACGCACTGGTCAAGATAAAGACGGCACATTGGAACTTAAGACTTTCCAATAACCCTTTTAATGCCCCACGATGAAACTCGGTGGCTCCTGATGATTTCAGTGACATTGCGAATGATCTGTGACTGATCATGACCCTGACCATCAACCCGCCACTAGCTCTTGTGACCCGTGACTACCTGAGCTGTCACTAACCTCTGTGACCCTGCCGCTGACCCCTGTGACTCTATGCCCAGTAATGTTGGTCATCACCCTTTCCGGAGCTGGTAGCGGAAGGGCCGGGGAGATTCATTGTTCCCAGGATCGTGCATTGTTTGTGGCCAGCCAGCCGACCAGCGGCAGACTCTGAAGTCTGCCCGGTCTGGTGCATTCTGCACAGTCTGTTGCAGTCTGCAGAGTCACCACCGGCGGGGTCTTTGAAGTCTGAGTCACACATGCGCCGCAGTCTGCGTGCCGTGTGGTCGGCAGTCTGTGCAGTCTGTGCCACGGTCTGCTGCAGATTTTGTCTGTTTTCCGTGACATCAGCGGCCATCAAAACAGCAGTATCGAATGACATTGACGGGTAGAGACCGAGTTTTCGTTTGTCAAGATGGGATAAAGGCACTGTGTGCTCCCGCTAGCTCGGAACGATAAAATGCAAGGACATTTTAAACATAAATACAATACACAGCAAGGCACATGGACATAGCTCGCAGCAAAATATATCGCTCATCATGAATCATATCAGGAAATATCAACCCAACATTAGAAGGAATGATGAACAGCCGCACTCTGAACGGAACAGTTAACATTTACGGGCACATTATCATTTGTTCAGCATTGAGATAAACAATAAGCAGTCACTATACCCAGTGCATTATTCTTTGTCCGCGAACCATAATATCTGACAGTTGATTTACATTGGTCGTGATCCTATTTGTAAAAGTCTTAAAACGTGACACATTTCGCTTTCCGATACCGTTTATGTTCCGGATAACAGCAGGGCTCGATAAGGCACTCATTCATCAGGGGTATCTGCCAGTGCAGAGGTCCAATCTTGGGTCCAAGCTAACTGTGCATTGCATCGTTAATCCAGGTCAAAATCTGATACTTCAGGACTGCCACTTGCGACTGTCAAAGGTGATGAGCTCCGGATAAAGGAATGCAGGCTATCTTCTCACTGGCATGGGCATTGAAAGTTAAAAGTTCGCGCTCCTGACAGGCTGTATGGGTCTTGTCCTTGTGTGTCAGTCAACAATCGCCTCTTGCATTCAAGGAATGGCACCAAAACACTCACGCAATCCCGCGATACGTCGTTCAGTAATGACCAGAATCATTCTGTTTGTGATGTTCTCTGCGTCGTTTCTGGCAGAAAACATGTCAAACCCAAAGATGAAGACGATTCCAGCAGGTCTTCAAGAAATCAGAGGGGACAGAACCACCAACATTGGAGACAGTTCTGGATGACAAGCTGGAGCAGTGTATCATTGACCCAGTGGAGGTAAGGGCTTTACTGCTTAAACAAAAGACACCATCAGCACCTGGCCCAGATGGAGTACACCCCATTGTGCTCAAGGAATGTGCCACTAGCCTTGCAGTGCCACTGTCCATCATCTTCTCTCGCTCAATTGAGTCGGGTCGCTTGCCTAAGGACTGGAAGAGGGCAAATGTAACACCCATCTTAAAAAAGGGGAACCGATCAGATCCACTGAACTACCGACCTGTTAGTTTGACCTCAGTGCCCTGTAAGATCATGGAGAAGCTGATCAGGCAGAAGATTGTCAACCATCTTGAGACAGACGACCTGCTTAGCCAACAGCAGCATGGTTTTCGGTCAAACAAATCATGCCTGACTCAAATGTTGGAGTACCTTTATGATGTTGAGAATGCTATTGATGAGGGGGAATGCGTGGATACCCTGTACCTTGACTGCCGCAAGGCATTTGACACTGTCCCACACCAGCACCTCATTGCTAAGGTACGAAGAATGGGCTTGGACGGACAAATTCTGCACTGGATAACAGACTTCTTGATTGGACGTGAGCAGAGGGTGGCAGTGCAAGGTTGCCACTCAGGATGGAGAGAGGTTTGGAGTGGAGTGCCACAGGGTAGTGTCCTGGGCCCAACCCTATTTCTGATCTACATTGACGATCTCCTGGAGGGCCTCCAGTCACGTGGAAAACTTTTTGCAGACGATGCCAAAGTTTACCGAAGGATAAGAAGCCCTGATGACCAGCTTGTCCTCCAGGAAGATATTGACAGGCTGCAACAGTGGACCAAGAAATGGCTGCTTACCTTCAATGAAGACAAATGCAAGGTGATGCATTTCGGGACAAAAAATCCACTGTACACCTACTCAATGGGGGACACCACTCTTACCTCAACCATTAAAGAAAAGGACCTGGGAATCACAATAACGCCAGACCTCAAAGTATCAGAGCAGGTGACGAGAGCGGCAGCTGCAGCGAACTCCATGCTGGGAAGAGTGAAGAGGACATTTACCTTCATGGACAAGGAAATGTTCCTGCCAATTTACAGAACACTGATACGCCCTCACATGGAATATGCCATCCAAGCTTGGTCCCCGTTTCTCCAAAAGGATGTCAACAAGTTGGAGAGGATCCAAAGGAGAGCGACAAAACTCGTACCTGAACTCGTCAATCTCCCTTACCAAGATCGTTTAGACCAACTGAAACTGACATCACTGGCAGATCGAAGGATTAGAGGGGACATGATTGAAGTCTACAAGCTGGTCCATGGACATGACAAGGTGAATGCTGGAGAAGAGTTTTTGAAACTAGAGACCAGTACAAACAGGGAAAGGACACGCGGACATGCTCTCAGACTGCAAAAGCCAAGGCATCGGCTGCACAGACGCAATCAATTTTTCTCCTCAAGAGTTGTGGACCAGTGGAACCAACTGCCTGAACATGTGGTACTGAGTCCAAGCATCAACGCATTCAAGAACAGATATGACCGTCATATGACACTGAGAAGAGGCAGCATCCTATGAGCATCCGCTCCCTATGCCTCTTTCCTATCTACTATGGTGAGCATCTACTATGGTGAGCATCGTCACGTGATATTGCAGTAATTTGAAGATTATGTAGCCGCTGCCGCGAACAGCCACGCATGGCCGACAGTATTAAGGCCAATTGGTTAACGGAGAGTTATTGAAGTGATAAGCAATGGATGTTTCAAAGAATGAATGCGGAACGTTTAGATGGTTATGTCTCAAAGATGACTGAAAATTAAATGAAACGATGGCTGATAAATGATGCTTGTGCCTGGGGTCTCATCAGATTGTTGACCTGTGATGCGGTCAGCCAAGGCCATATATAGACTTTCAATGGATGAAGTTGGGATGAAGCACTGATTGTATTTGCGTGAATGTATCCGTCAAGGATGTGTAATAAGTTGATGATTATGATGATGATAAAGAAATAAAACAGTAAATCAGTTACTCTTTGCAACGCAATTCTTTCCTAAAGCGGAACACTATCGCGGATCTGACGATGTCTATGTGATTGGGGATGTGCCACGATTCCGCACAGCCCCTGTGCAGCCGCAGTGATTGGCTCTGCAGCTCTCTGTCTAGTTTCCCTCGCATCTGGCGCCGCCAGTTCCCCGTACCGACTCCTCAGAGAGTCGTACAACTCATGTCGGAGCGCCACATGGCGGGCCCATGAGTCACCAGACCAGTCATAACTGCATCACACACCGGCGGCGGTGGGGAAACGTGAGTTCACCCGCTCTCTGTCTGACAGCTATAGGGGAGGAGGGTGGGGTGGGGTGAATTATGTTACCGATGTGTCAGTCACCTCCACCGGCTACTCGTTCTCCACCCACGCTGTGTCAGCCGCCCCCCCCCCCCCCCTCCCATCAGCTCTCGCCAAGGGCCAGACGATTAGAGATTGGTGACAGCGCCAGTGCACTAAAGCCCGCACTGATGACAGCCTTGCTCCAAAACCATGCACCGGTGAGCTGTCATCGTGTGAACTAAAACCCACACCGGTGATCGTTGTGAGTGAGCTACATCACACCATCCAGCACCAAAACCTGGGATCGATATTGGCAATTAAATTCCAATTAATATTTGCAAGTGTGTTGACTGTTGACACCTAAAATCGCGATCGATATGCACCTCAAAACCCGTATTCAATATGCACCAAGCCCGCGCTTTAGATCTGCAGCTGCGCCGTATATGTAAATACGTCTCTGCTGCCACTGTGAAGTATTTTCTCCACTTGGTGAAAACTGACCAGCTGGTGTAATAGACAGCTGGGAAAGAGGTCGGACGATGGGGCAGCGCCAGCAGGCTGATGAGTGACTCCGGAACGGTGTCTAGCGGTAAAACTATCGCGATTAAATGAAAAGGTTACGATGAGGATACTCGCTATAAAATTGATTAAATTTGCATAAGTTGTTTGTTTGTGCAAAGAATGACGAAATGGTAAAGTTCCGTCCCTGTCAGTAACGTGAGACCCCAAAGAAACGTTTGATATATCAAATTTGGAATATCAAATTTTGATCATTTGTAATTTGTATGTAATGTAATAGAATGTAATTTTTGTATGTAATAAAATGTAATTTGGTAGCATATCTTATACATGGAATTCAAAAGTCTAACGCTGGTACTCCGAAATAAACAAAACGTGTTCAAGATTCTTATTAGACTCGGACTTCAGCCAGACATTTTGACGTTGACGCGAGACTGAATGGGACAGCAAAATATTATGGACGTTGGACGTCAGAGACAAGGCACCATAACCCTGCGTGCAAATTGGTATGTCGAATGTGACTGAAATTTGATCCTGATATGAAGCATTACACTGGCAAACCATTGTAGATGTGTTCGCAAAATTCGTCATTGATAAATCAAAGCGGGTTGGTAGTTTCGATACTGTATTAGCTGATCTTCGCCATTTCTTCGTCAGTCTCTTCCGCGATGGTTGGGAGACTGGGCCGGTAGAACTTGATCGGGGTCATGCCTTTGACGTTATTCAAAAACGACATAGCCATGCCGTTCTCTTCAAAATATTTCATGATATCGTTCTTCAAGTCTTGCTGCTTCTTTGCGTTACTTTTGTTGACGAATGTTGCCTGGACTTTTGATTTTGCGTGAAAGAGATTCGACAAATCTACGATGTGCGACTTGAGTGCGCTTTTCCTCTCCTTTGCGGCTAGTGTCCGTGACGCCAGGTCCATCTTCTGACCCGGGGGCATGGCTGGCGTGTTCAGGGTCAACCTGTTGATCTTCTGGATGGCGTCCTTGAGGCCCGACTTGCCGTCGCCCTGGGAGAGTTCCCTTCGAGCCGGCTCCTTCAATTTCCACTTTTGGTAGGCAGGATGCATCATCGACGCGGGTCGGCCCAGGGTTAGTCTGGAGCCGCCGATGGCGTTCGCCTGGGTCAGACTGGTCAACACCCCCTGTGGCACGTTCACGTTGAAGCTCTCTGGTGTTCGGACGGTCGGCTTCCTGACCGGCGGGGTGTCAGCTGTGATGGACCTGTGCTGGTATTTCTTCTTCTTTGATCCAAGTGGGAAGAGCGTCATTGAGGAAGAGGACAGAGGTGCCACCGCCTTTGTGGATGGGGCGCTATCATCATACGCGAAAATTGGCATGGTAGTTCGGCGAGTTTAACTTTGAACAAAAAGATTATCCGCTATTCTATTCCCAAAAACCTTCAAAATTCAAGTTAGTGTTTACTTGAATGCTTAAAATGCTTTTCTTCACCATCCCAACCAACCCCAGTTTCACTTAAATCTACGACGAAATTCTCAAATTTTCGCTCACCTTTGAGGTTGCCTTTCAGCTCAATCTAATCCTGTCTGTGCATTGCACGTGCTGAAAAGTTATTTCCGTCCGCAACAATCGAGAGCTCATAACCAAAAGTTACAAAAACATTTCTAGAGTTTATCAAGTCTGGCACAGTTCATCACGTAGGCTATTTTTTGTTCTGCGTATTTTGGCCATGACACTTCACGGCCTCAACCTACTTGCCGTTGAATTTGGATCGCATCGAGATAGATAGCTAACATGGGCATGAGCCGAATTACCAGTTACAATTTGAATTCAGCCGAGCTCCGGCTCAAATGTCATCTATGCCAACACCGACAGTGGTGAAATGTCGAACATTTGAACCCATGGATACCAGGAATGCACGGCCTACTATGGATCTCGAATTTCCATAGTGCCGTGGCGCGAAATCAACCAAGCGGAAAAGTGGGGCATAGCGGAGTTCGGAGTTCTATAGTCTCGGGCATAGCATTGTGGGTCGGGAACGGGATTAATATAATCTACATAACAGCTCCATTAAAGCGAGACGTGAACCACGACAAAACAAATACAATATTCAAAATCATTATACAAAACGGTCCAGATGCAAACAATTGAAATAAATGAAAAAAAATACTTTTTTTTTAAATCCCATTTTGTATGCATGAGCCCCATGTCGAAGATGGTCACTGAGCAGCATGTGAATCTTAATGTAAAAAGAAAAGTATCTAAGAACACTATCCAATAGCCGTATCACGTTGTCCATAAGAGATAGTTTCGAGACTTGAAACACATTCCAAATTCATCAAACCTACACTAATACAATCGATCTTTCAAAGGACAAGCACGGAACAAATAACGAATGACGTTTCACTTACGAAAGGCTGGATGAAGCCCATGTCATGCAGGTCCTCCCAGTGCTCCGTATGAGGCAATGGACAGATGGAGTTGATGGGCATGACGCCTCTCTTCTTCTCTTCACTCCTGACCACACAGTCCACTGTGTTTCACTCTCTCACTCTCTAAGCTCACACCGTTGTCTCGTGAGTCCCGGCACCGGAGATCCGCAGCCTCCGGTGTTCGCTCGTCGAATGGCTACCGTCGTCCACGGCCGACAGACTCCACCAAAGAGACCAACGATCTCCCTGGCTGCTGATCACCCAACCGGAAAAAATCGGCCACAGACACATACCCACGCATGACCGCGCGACTAAGGCTTTGGATGTGTGGTGATGCCATTCCCCGACCAAAGTCGGAGTCGATTCATGGCGTGACGACTGAGGGAGGGAGATGACCGGTCATCGAACAGCTGTTGGTGCAGACGGCTCCCATCGCGAGACGCGCCGATGTGGGACGAACCGGCGCCGCGGCGCAGCCGGCGCCGTCTGGGCTGGAACGGGGGACGGCTGACCGGGCGGCGCTGGGAGGCCCAACGGGGAATAGAGAACGACCTCTGGGGTGGACGGCGGATGAACTCTGGCCGATCTCCAACTCCAAGTCTCCGAACCTCTCGAGAAACGAGCAATGAAACTCTGCGTCCCTAGATGACGGCGCAAAGCTACTGATGCCATGGGATTTGTGCATGGAACTGGTAGGTACAGCCAGTAAGCCACGAATGGGAATGTACCCTGACGGACGGGACAGTCGCATGCCATCAGAATGGGCGACCACACGATAAGACATGACTTGTTCGACGGACTGACAGACGACCAAACCGACAAACCGATCATGACAGTGACAGTGGCAATGAAGTGACAAAAAATAATTGGACAATATTGTGAGGATATTAAAAAACTGACGGATATATGGATCTACGGATGCCAACTTCGATATTTTTCAGGCAAACTATCGAAAATTACGGACACACAAAATTAATATGCACTGTTTCTTTATATACTTGGCAATAACATACCTGTACTTTGTTCAATTCACTGCGTCGTGGCATTCTGATTTGGACCGAGTCTCCACGACTAAATAACAGGCACTTGCTGGCGAAGTCCTGCCAAATAAGAGGACGGAGTGTCACCGGAAAAATACTTGATCGTGAGCGAAGAAAGGGAGCCTGGGAATGGCTACAGCAACTGTGCAAGTAGTGCTCATTTCGGCTGTCATAAAATGCACTGATTGTTAGTCAAAATTTACGTTAAAAAATAAAATCAAAACCGATCCGCTCGGATAAACTTATGTTGAAATGAAATGTTAGCGCGAAAATTGCATTGCTTTGGTTATCCACTCGTGATCAGTGACACGAAACAAACTCGTGCTGCTTTTGGAGCCGCATGACCACCACAGGGTACCAAAGAGCAGAATCATTGATAAAGAACCCTTTAAACATTGCCGTCAACACACTTAAATAGTGTACAAGTAGTTAAAGTAAAATAGTACAAGTAGTTAAATCTCCCACATAGGTCCTTGAGAATGGTTAAGAGTTAATCCCGGGCTCGTGCCCACCGATAACTCGAGTTATTGATACGAGATAACCGATAAGTAAAGCGCAACATCGATGCATCTTTGAAGAATATGTAGTGTCAGTGTGCAGTTACCAAGACTGCCTTTTGAAGTGATGCGATAGAGCTCATGAGATGGCCGTGTGTGACACAATATGCACCCTTCGAGTGCAAAGATGAGGGCTATTTTTGAACCTACCATGGCGTTAGTTGGGAAGAGTCGTGTAGCCAACAGCACCCTCTTGAACCAGTAAGGAGTTCGATGGCAAAGTCCGCCAATCTGGGATTTTTAGACTCGACAGACGACAGGAATTAAACAAAAACATGAACAGTTTAAAATCTCAAGCCACCGGGCGTTACGCAAAAAGAGTGTGTCAGCGCCTCACGCACATTGACGCACATCTGTCGCAAATCACATCATGCGCCGCATTCGCCAGCAAGGTGCGCGCCATGTGCGCCGCGTTTGTCGGACAATTCTCTCACGAAATTTCCACGCGGCTCAGTGAGACGGGTACCGCTAGGAACTGAACCATCCGTCACGAACCACACCGTCTGGAACTACAACGAGAGAACCCAGATGTGCACTATGGAATATGCGGGTCGGAAAATACACGGCCAAAGAAGTATGGCCAACTGTGGGCTATGGAAACTGCGGGGATGTCACAATTCGGATGTGTCACGCTGGACCGTGACGCCGTCGACCGTGACGCCGATCAGCGTGACTCGGTGACACCGTGACGACACCGCGTGACGGAACCGTGACGCACCCGTCACGGCTGGTGATGTTGAGAGGACTGTTCAACGGGCGTGAAGCACGCAACTCTGATTAAGACCTGACACGCACGTCAAATCAAACACTGGTTAGTACAAAAGGTCTGTGACCTCAGCATTCTTGTAGGAGCTTCACCCGAGACGGACACTAGCTCTGGACCAGATATCTATCGTTTCTCAGAAATACTTCCACGGGGTGGGACACTAAACTGACCGGACCGGTGGACAGATACATCGATTGGCGGAAGACTTGGGAGTTACAGGTATGTAACTCTCAGCCCAAATATTCCACATATTTGATGGTCCCTAGAAGTGAAACATTCTGAAAGATGAGTGGAAACAAAAGTTAATTATCCGCGAATAGATCCTCACACTCGTAAGACCATGCTTCTTTACTTTGCATCGATTGGCAAGTTCATATACAATTCGCCACATATAACTTTTAGCGCATCCGAACTTCATACAGAAAACCCTTAGAATGGCCTTTCCGATCTACCTCTTAAGTGGTGAACTATTTTCCCTAAGGTGATGGTACTCTTTCTACCTCTATAGTGGTGGACAGACGGACAAGCCCCCCACGCCTCACACCTTTCTCATCCCTCCACCTGCCGTTGTCCGCGACTACATATCACCGCGCCCGCGCCGTGCAGACAATACCGACGCACGGTGGGGCAAAAACGGGGCGCCGCTTTCGCCGCTCATCTGGGCTGCCGCGCCGTGTCTTCTGCCGTGACGGAGACGAATTGTGGGGCAGGTGATACGGTGCGCAGATGCTGAGACGATAGATGGCACAGTTGCAGAGACGAGAGGAATCGCGGGCGGTGGACACCGGCAGACGGAAGGAGAGATAGACAGACGGACAGACAGACACAGAAAGATAGACAGACAGATGGAGAGAGAGAGAGAGAGAGAGAGAGAGAGAGAGAGAGAGAGAGAGAGAGAGAGAGAGAGAGAGAGAGAGAGAGAGATACAGAGAGAGAGAGACAGAGAGAGACAGAGAGAGAGAGAGGACAGGCGGACACCGACAGACAGATGCAAAGACAGACAGACAGACATACGGGCAAACGGACAGATTGACTGACAGGTTTCATAGCCTATTTTCATGCGTTATTTCTATTCATGACATGTTTACCGCAAGGCTGCAAGAATAGTGGCTGACCTGTGTTCCATGTCTGTGACACAAAATCGAATTCCTGTGTGTGCATCATTGACACGATGTTTTTGATGCATCGATAAAAACATCAGCTCATCAAAGTTTTTACATCGATGCCATTGTTTTCCAAACCTGCCAATTGAAGAATGAATAATGGACAATGGAAATGCCAATGTCAATGAAAAAATGAGCAGCTCCCCTTCTAAAGTGATGGACAGTGACGTTACACTTCTTGCACAACGACCAGCATCAGCAATAGCTCTGTTTCTTCTGGAAATAGGTACCAACTACAGGGTGTCTCAAAAGTTCGTTCACACATTTCCCATGCCAATAAAGCATATAAGAACCGGCCAAAAGTATAAGGTTTTGGTGTCTGTGTGTACACTAGACAAATATGCATGCTTTGACAACTGATTAAGAAGGTTGGAAACCAACCCCTTTGCTGTATCTCCAAAAATATTTGCCCATACCGATTTTTGTTGCTCCGTCAGCTGCCGGAGGCTGATAAAAGGTTACCAGCTTTCAAGCTCTTGCAAGGGAATCCCCTGCAGTTTCTGCGTCGGATTTAGTTTTGACTAGCTCCCCGGCAACATCTGATTTCCCCTGAAAGCCGACAGCTTGCATCGACACCATTCTTGAGTATTTTGTAGGCATTCTCTGGCGCTAACTCCTTCATGAATGACTGGCGCCGACATCCCAAGCGCCATTTTCCTTTTCAAAACGACCCCGGTCCTGAACAAACGGGAAGTACCAGGAGTAAATTTTTCGCATCATATGGTAGCAGAATGTGTCGGACGTCTGTTTCTCAGACACATTGTGCAAATTTTGCAAATTCCAAGCGCTCGTCATTCCCCATGCCAAGACCTTCGCTCGGTTGCGGAGTGTTTTCCTCGGGAGATGTTCTGCTTTGTAAACGGCCCAAACCTGTCCATCGTGTGGTTTTATCGGGATTTTGTGTTTAAAAGAAAATTATTCGCTGCAGATCTGCCTCTTGAAACTTCGTTACATAAAATTTTACAATAACTGACACTTTTGGAGGGTCAGGTGTCCTTGGCATTGACGATTTTTGTGTTATTGTCCCCAAAAATTAGCGTTATAGATATTATAAACAATTTTAAATTATAATTTGTCTTTATTTTACGATGACCTGCACTTTTTGAAAATGGGCAACCTCTGTCTGTGACCTTCTTGCCAGTTTTCAATAGTTATGACCGCATTTTCAGCTGCTTTCCGGAACACGAGTCTGCTGTCGTGCGAGGGTCGTTTAAAACGCCGTTAGTCTCGCATGGTTTTGTCCTTCAAAAATTTTAGCCACCGTTTTTTATGAGATGATCATCATGTTGCACTCATCCTCGCCGACACTTAGACATGTGTCATTTCCGACTTAACCATTCCCATTACTCCTGAAACAGAGAGTTTCACAACATACCCGACTTTGCAACCTACATTTTCGTGCCTGACCCATGGTCAGAGGTGAACCCTTTTTGTGAGCTCATGAAGGGTCGAATGCACTTGAAAACAATAAGACTGCTTGAGGAAGGTTGTCACCAATGCCCATGCAAAATTTCGACTGTTTATTTCTTGTTGATTCATAATTATTGACAAAAAAGCATGGCTGGTACCTGTGAACGAACTTTTGAGACACCCTGTACATGCGAGCATTTCTCCCTATAGGTTGCTTCCATTTCATTTGCTGTCTGGCAATACCTATATCTCTTATTTCTTTGGAATATCAGTGCTTTCTGTGTGCTTTTCCCGTGTGTCCAATGTCCACTTACGCAGGAAATGGGAACACAGTTTCGTGCAAGAATTCATCTGAGCATACTTAATGATGATATATGACTGCGGCGATGGTGAAGGGCGTTTAGCTTCTGTGGATTTATGCTAACATTTGTGGCAAACTATGTGCTTTACATGAGACGCGTGAGAAAATACTTCAGACGTTCATGTGACTACCCTGAAAACATCTACTAATATCTTATCGGATTCCTTACACTAATTGTCATGACATGT